AGGATGCATCCCTTTTATGTGATTTTTTTCACTTCTCTCCTTTAACCCCTGGTCCAAATTTTAAATCAGAGGTGAAATCAGGTTTGATAAGGGTAAATTTGAGCTGCCTAAGAGTAAGAATTTTTGCTTCTTTGGGAGTAATTAAAAAAACCACAAACATACTCCCAAAACAAAGATGAACAGACAGCCTTTTCCTTTAAAATATCATAACTGATAGCTTCTTTCAGGGCTCAACACTAACTTTTCAACTTACTTAGCCAAGTGGCTTAAGTGACATCTTAGATGTTTTTAGATGTCACTACGACAATTTCAGTCTGTTTACTAGCCAAACTGGCTAGTGGAAATTGAAAATCACTAGCCAAAACTGAATTTCTACTAGTCTGTGACTAGTGGGCTACTGTTAGTGTCGAGCCCTAGCTGTTCTTTGATCAAAGTCTGCTATTCAAAATACAGTCAACCCTGCATTTAGCAGTCACTCACAAGGAATGCCGGGGTGTTCACCTAATACAAGTTGATCACTTAATACAAGTTCCACAGAATAGGGGGGATACAAAAAGTGACAAAAAACACCATTTTATACCATAATTGACACTTATGTACAAAGCTTTGCTCAGAGAGAAACATGGATTACATTTTACTTAAAAATCTTTTTTCAGTTGAGTGGTTCTGCTTTACATAACCATTCAACAGGTTGAAGTCAATACAAAAAGGCTGCTGGGTCACTCAAAGGTGAGTATGCATGACCACAGCCATAACCACAACCATTTCATAGAGGTGACTGCTTTATAGAGGTGAAAATTATAACAATTAAGGAGAACCAAATTTGGGACTTTGACAATAAATTGCTTTTTATAGGGTGGCATCTTTTTACGGTGTCGCTTAACACAGGTTTGACTGTAGACAGCAATCTCCTATAAATTACGATTTCAAAGCTTTCTCAGTCAGTTATGATAATGCACTGATCATTACAGGTTACCTGTTGATGCAGGGAGCTTTTGGATGGACCTCCCACCATCAGTTCAATTATAAAACATCCAAAGCTATAGATATCAGCTGCTCTCCCATGAGGTTTCTCTTCCAAAACCTGCAGTATTGCAAAGAATGTAACTTTTCATTACCTACAGTGCATTCCAAATTTTTTCAAGTTTTTTTTCCAATAATTCAGTTGTTTTCGAGATGTCAAATAGGATTTGATGCTGTTCTCGATCGGAAAAAGTAAAACAGAGCAATCAAATTAATATACATTTAATGAGTATCGTAATTGGTCAGAAATTAACCAATCAAATTGCACAATACATATTGTAGAAATTTGGTGCGCTTCAAGTCATCATGTGTGGTTTACATCGATCGAGTTGACAATGGCCAGCATGGATTTAGACATGTCCAGATTTTTGTACTCTGGGGGTTGGCAGGTATGCATTTCTTTTAATTTCATAACCTCTTTGTGTGATTCAGGGTTGTCATTGTGAGGTGCTCATCACTCTCTTAAGATCAAAGGGTTAACAAAATAGTTTATAAAAAGTTCGTAATTGAAAATACTAAAATTTAAGAATGGAGCAATGTCTACAAGGGCAGCACAGTCAAGCAATTGCCAAACTAAACCTGGCCATTACAAAATCTTACACCACAAAATGCACCACTGAAAAACAGAACCTTGAAAGAGCTTCTTTTGCCTTAATTGACAAAACCATGCAAACAAAGAGAAAAACATGCAAGCTTGCCAAATTTTAACTTAAAATTATCATCTAACTGCAAAATATTACATATTACTGCAAATTATTAATATTACAATCTTACAGAAAAGAGATCACCTCAGGAGAAGCAAAACCTTTCGTCCCTTGGGCTTTCAGACCAGCTTTGGTGATTTCAGAAGGCAATCTCCTTGCAGAATCAAAATCAGCAAGTTTTGCCTGAGAACCATCTGCCGTCAGCACCACATTTTTGGCTAAAAACAAATTCATCACACTATCTTGCATTAAGCCTTCGGTATCAAAACTGACTGGTGCATCCTTAGAAGAATCACCAATGTTTCGTTTACCACTATTGTGTTATTGTAAAACAAGTAAATTTTTTCATATCAATTGTAAAGATACAAAAAGACTTGAAGTTTCTGAAAAAGTTTGGTCTTCCCTAACTGTTACCTGAATGCTCTTACCTTTGATATCCTTATGAACTATTGGAACTTTCAAATTGTGTAAGTATACCACTGCGACAAGAATCTGAATAGCGTAAAACATGGCTTCCAGAAGAGTCAATCGTCTCTTTAATTTTGAGTCCATGTAGTCAAAAAGTGATTGTTCTGCCAGAAGAGGCAAAAAAAGTACTGGTAGTGCCATACATCAAAAATGTGAAACCCAACTAAAATGCTCATGTGTGCCTTAAATTACTCAAAAGAACAAGGTACTTTCTCACAACATACCACATAACTCCATGAATATATTGGCATGTCCCTTATTCTCTCTTAATGTTACTCCATAGTGTGTGATGATGTGAGGATGTTCGCCCAACATCTTGTACACTTCTACTTCCTCCCTTTCAATGTGGTACTTTGTCTAACAAAAATAAATCAGCACATTAATAGATCAGTATTGTTTGAAGGCTTCTAAATCAGAGCCCTGGGGCTGGGTTACAGAAGTTCATAATGATTCAAAGTCCTACCTGCACTTATTCTCCTTAAGTGAAGTCTGGGGGAGTTAAGTAACCCTCTCTTAAAATATCATTTTTACAACCAGTGCTCGATGTTCATTTCAATTCACTAGTCAAACCATGATGTTGTAGGAAAAGAGTAAATACTTCTCACAAAACAGTCCTACCTCTTTCATAGCCATCTTTTTCCTATTGTCCCTTGTCAAATAGATGACAAAAACTTCTGCATTGCTTCCTATTCCGAGCTTCTTTTCTTTCATCTTAATGAAGTCTTTGTTTTCAAGGAAGAATTTCTCTGGCAGGTCTGTTGAATTCTGTGGGAAAACAAGTTTATATATTAATGTGTTTTAGACGTTACAAAGCATTTAGCAGTCGGTATTATCTTTTACAACCCCACAATTTTCTAAGGACACCTGAAATTGCTTTTAAACAATTAAACCTCCACTGAGCTGAAACTGTTTCTCCTTCAAATGTTCCAGATAACTTTAGACACAAATTGGGTGAAGAAACATTCATAAGGAAACTTTGATGAGCTATCATAAAATGGAGTGCCTCTTTGAGTTCAATGTAGCAGAATTTAGAAACTTTTGCTGCTTGATTGGGTTAGTATTTACAAATTAAGCAATGTTGCTGGTGGAAATTTGAGTGCGGTTGATTGACTTTTGTGGAATTAATCAGCCTTTAAGTGGCGATGGTTGGCATTGGGGACTGATTGAAGTGACCTTGTTTATTTTTATACATAGTTAGATAGTGGCACAATGCATGGTACAAAGAAAGTTACCAAAAAAGCAATATAACAACCGTAAGTTGACAAAGTGGCTGTGAAGAGGTAAGGAGACCTAACATGTTATGTTCCTTGTTTTTAATTACCCTTTTTAATTTTTCTTTTTTCAATTTTTCCCTTTTTTAAACTGCCCACCGTTACTGAGGCTTTCATTTCAATCTTAATATATTAAGTTATCCTGTTAATGACCTATAGACCCCAAAATCACACACACTATGCTTGGGCTGCCTGTGGTGCTTATAATATGCTTGAGAAGGCAAACTTAACTAAAGTTAAAATGTGTGATGTTCATGGTATAATTGTCAATAGTGTACTACAAACACCAGATAATGGCTGATTTGTGTCTGGCCCAATTCTATTGTTTGTAACAACAACAATCTTATGGTTGGTCTTTCACTGTAAATATATATTTGTTGTAAATTATAAAATCCTGTCAACATTGTCAGGTCAAGAACAACAGCCTCTTGAATGTTTGCCAACTCATCTATGATAATAAGAGAAAAAAAACCTAGGAAAAAAAAAACTAGAAAAAAAGCTATATCCAGTCTTACTATCAGGCCAAACTTTGTACTGGCCTTGATAACAAATTAATCAAATAAATTAAAACATTACTCGGAATATCACTCTGCCATCAATACGAGGTGTTGGTGATACAAAGACTGGAGCTACAGGAGGTTTCCTGTTAAACTGTGGTGCTAGCACTGGCACTGACGTAGAAAGAGGCTCTCTGTTATCTTCACAACTGCCCCTGCAAGGACAAATCTATTAAGTCATGAGGTTACACCATCTAAAAAACTTGCTAATTACTTATCACTGTCAAACAACAACAAACATATGAAACATATGTGTGAACTGCGGTTATGAGACGTATATGAGCACGATCCTTCACAGTAAAGCACTATTGGAGCAATAGTGAAAATCACACCTGAAAAAAATTTCAGGCCTGTACGGGATTCGAACCACTGACCTCTGCGATACTAGTGCAGCGCTCTACCAATTGAGCTAACAAGCCAACTGGGAGCAGGCCATCAAATTAATTCGATATAAACCCGTAGATGATAAATCAAACAACAACAAACATATGAAACATATGTGTGAACTGCGGTTATGAGACGTATATGAG